TCAAACATTTAGAGAAAAGCTAAAACCCATCTTTCTCAAACTCTTCCAAAAAATTGCAGAGGAAGGAATATTCCCAAACTCATTTTATGAGGCCACCATCCTCACCCTGATACCAAACCAGACAAAGATACTATAAAAAAAGAAAATTACAGACCAGTATCACAGATGAATACAGACGCAAAAATCCTCAACAAAATACCAGCAAACAGAATCCAAGAACACATTAAAAGGATCATACACCATGATCAAGAGTGATTTATCCAAGGGATGTAAGGATTCTTCAATATACGCAAAGCAATCAATGTGATACACCATATTAACAAATTGAAGAATAAAAACCATATGATCAACTCAATAGACGCAGAAAAAGCTTTTGACAAAATTCAACACCCATTTATGATTAAAACTCTCCAGAAAGTGGGTATAGAGGGAACCTACCTCAACATAATAAAGGCCATATACGACAAACCCACAGCAAACATCATTCTCAATGGTGAAAAACTGAAAGCATTTCCTCTAAGATCAGGAACAAGACAAGGATGTCCACTCTCACCACTATTATTCAACATAGTTTTGGAAGTCCTACCACGGCAATCAGAGAAGAAAAAGAAATAAAAGGAATACAAATTGGAAAAGAAGTAAAACTGTCACTGTTTGCAGATGACATGATAGTATACATGGAGAATCCTAAAAATGCCACCAGAAAACTACTAGAGCTAATCAATGAATCTGATAAAGTTGCAGGATACAAAATTAATGCACAGAAATCTCTTGCATTCCTATACACTAATGATGAAAAATCTGAAAGAGAAATTAAAGAAACATTCCCATTTACCATTGCAACAAAAAGAATAAAATACCTAGGAATAAACCTACCTAGGGAGACAAAAGACCTGTATGCAGAAAACTATAAGACACTGATGAAAGAAATTAAAGATGATACCAACAGGTGGAGAGATATACCATGTTCTTGGATTGGAAGAATCAATACTGTGAAAATGACTATACTACCCAATCTACAGATTCAATGCAAACCCGATCAAATTACCAATGGCATTTTTTACAGAACTAGAACAAAACATCTTAAAATTTGTATGGAGACACAAAAGACGCCGAATAGCTAAAGCAGTCTTGAGAGAAAAAAACGGAGCTGGAGGAATCAGACTCCCTGACTTCTGACAATACTACAAAGCTACAGTAATCAAGACAATATGGTACTGGCACAAAAACAGAAACGTAGATCAATGGAACAAGATAGAAAGCCTAGAGATAAACCCAGGCACATATGGTCAACTAATCTTTTACAGAGGAGGCAAGGATATACGATGCAGAAAAGACAGTCTCTTCAATAAGTGGTGCTGGGAAAACTGGACAGCTACATGTAAAAGAATGAAATTAGAACACTCCCTAACACCATACACAAAAATAAACTCAAAATGGATTTGAGACCTAAATGTAAGACCAGACACTATAAAACTCTTACAGGAAAACATAGGAAGAACACTCTTTGACATAAATCACAGCAAGATCTTTTTTGATCCACCTCCTAGAGTAATGGAAATAAAAACAAAAATAAACAAATGGGACCTAATGAAACTTCAAAGCTTTTGCACAGCAAAGGAAACCATAAACAACATGAAAGGATAACCTTCAGAATGGGAGAAAATATTTGCAAACAAATCAACGGACAAAGGATTAATCTCCAAGATATATAAACAGCTCATGTAGCTCAATATTAAAGAAACAAACAACCCAATCCAAAAATGGGCAGAAAACCTAAATAGACATTTCTCCAAAGAAGACATACAGATGCCCAAGAGGCACATGAAAAGCTGCTCAACCTCACTAATTATTCGAGAAATGCAAATCAAAACTACAATGAGGTATCACCTCACACCAGTTAGAATGGGCATCATCAGAAAATCTACAAACAACAAATGCTAGAGAGGATGTGGAGAAAAGGGAACCCTCTTGCACTGTTGGTGGGAATGTAAATTGATACAGCCACTATGGAGAACATTATGGAGGTTCCTTAAAAAACTAAAAATAGAATACCATATGATCCAGCAATCCCACTACTGGGCATATACCCAGAGAAAACCATAATTCAAAAAGACACATGCACCCCAATGTTCATTGCAGTACTATTTACAATAGCCAGGTCATGGAAGCAACCTAAATGCCCATCGACAGACGAATGGATAAAGAAGTAGTGGCACATATATACAATGGAATATTACTCAGCCGTAAAAAGGAACAAAATTGAGTCATTTGTTGAGACGTGGATGGAACTAGAGACTGTCACACAGAGTGAAGTAAGTCAGAAAGAGAAACACAAATATCGTATATTAATGCATGCATGTGGAACCTAGAAATATGGTACAGATGAACCGGTTTGCAGGGCAGAAGTTGAGACACAGATGTAGAGAACAAACGTATGGACACCAAGGGGGGAAAGCCGTGGGGGGGTGGGGATGGTGGTGTGCTGTATTGGGTGATTGTGATTGACATGTACACACTGATGTGTATAAAATTGGTGACTAATAAGAACCTGCTGCATAAAAAAATAAAATTAAATTTAAAAATTAAGGAAAAAAAAAAAAAGGGCTTCCATGGTGGCACAGTGGTTAAGAATCTGCCTGCCAATGCATGGAACACAGGTTCGTGCCCTGGTCCAGGAAGATCCCACATGCCGCGGAGCAACTAAGTCCGTGCACCACAACTACTGAGCCTGCGCTCTAGAGCCCACAAGCCACAACTACTGAGCCCACTTGTCACAACTACTGAAGCGTGCGTGCTTAGAGCCTGTGCTCCGTAACAAGAGAAGCCACCACAATGAGAAGCCTGCGCACCGCAACGAAGAGTAGCCCTCACTCACCATAACCAGAGAAAGCCTGTGCACAGCAACGAAGAACCCAACACAGCCAAAAGTAAATAAATAAATAAATTTATTAAAAACAAAAACTAATACTAAACTTTCTTTGGGTTATTTGTATGGAAATATATTAATATAAGTGTTTCAGACATTACACGAAATTCCTAAAAATCTTATATGTACTGGTAGAATGTTATAAGTCATAATCCTAGTTATTACTTTAAAATGTATATCTCAGAAATACCTAAATCTCCTTGTCAATTGTATTATCATGAACTTTCATCAAATCTTTAACTGTGGTCATTTTTAAGTCTTCTGTCATTTACAGACAGTTCTGGGTGTACTCTGATGCTTTTGCAAAAATGTTCCTATAAACGGGTTTCACCTTCAAGGAATTCATGGAAGAGACTGACAAGTACAGGTTTCTGGCAACTGACTATACTGCTGAACTGAATGAATAAGCATTTTCAGAACTCTAATGGAAAACTGATGAATTCATAAAAGTGCTAACAAAAGATCAAGATGAAAAAAAATTAATTACATGGGACTGAGTGAACTGATGAGGATGATTTTAATTTTTGTGACTTTCTATTTGAATAAAACAAAAAAACCCAAAAAACCAATATCTACTTACATAAGCAGGTTGAACATTAAGCAAGATGCAAGAATTTAATATTTTTCTTCCCTAAATGCAAAGTAATGGTTTGCGTTTGAGATGTACACTTATTGGTAATCTGGCTATCGTTTTATATATTTAGTCACTACTTTTTATATCGCAGTTCTAAGGAAAGCTTTTAGTCTAGAAAGTACTTTATATATACTTTTGAGTACCTTCGACTTCCATTTCAGACTCCTCATATTCCAAATGTGAACTTGTCTTAATCAGCTGGAAAGAATGTAGAGATTTATGGAGATAATTTAAGAAATAGAGCACTTCTACTGAGAAAAGAGTTTTCTCATATCAACATCAGATAAAAAAATGACTTAGTTTGATATAAGAATTTCAGTCATTTATAGGAGAGTTTCCACAATGATTTTTCCCTTTAATTTGTTTCAAATAAATTAAATGTGACATCTCTGTATCAACAAAAAAAAAGAAAAAAAGAGTTCAAAGCTGATTCTGATAGCCTCCAAGGTTGAAAATCACAGCTATATACTTTCCTCACTACATTTGTCCATAGAAGTGTTGTATTTAAGTCAAATCTATTTTAAGTTAAACCACACTTTAAATGTAAATATACTCTACTAGGGAAACAATTCATAACTTACTTAAAAATAACCTGCTATTAAGGTTAAATTTTAGTGGTAATCTCTTTAAAGGTCATATTTTTTTTTCACACACACACACACTGTATTTTATTTTTACAAGAGATAAATAAACTGACACCAAGCATTGTAAATGGATGACCACAACAAAAGCAACGACTGCAATTACCAAACACTAAACACACCCACACTATGTCACAATATTGACATTCAGTCCAGTAATCCTCCACTGTAACAGGTCCTTTACTTTGCAGTGAAAATTGATTTGTATATCTTTTGCCTCTGAGTCCTTGTGGGATTTTTTTATTTTTATTCAAACAGAAAGTCACAAAAATTATAATCATCCTCATCAGTTCACTCAGTCCCATGTAATTTTTTTTTCATCTTGATCTTTTGTTAGCACTTTTATGAATTCATCAGTTTTCCATTAGAGTTCTGAAAATGCTTATTCATTCAGTTCAGCAGTATAGTCAGTTACCAGAAACCTGTACTTGTCAGAGTCTTTTCCATGAATTCCTTGAAGATGAAACCCTTTTATAGGAACATTTTTGCGAAAGCATCAGAGTACACCCAGAACTGTCTGTAAATGACAAAAGACTTAAAAATGTAAAGGTCATATTTTTCAATAACATTTTTGTCTCTATCTTTTATGTGTACAATGGAACCTGATCTTCATATCTGATATAATTTATAATCTCATAAAAGGACAGGACTGGTAACCTCTCTTGATCTGCTACACCTGTTTCAAAGTCATACAAATACAAATACTATGTTCAATTCATTTTAATTTTTTTCTTCTTCTTTTAAGAAAATAGAAATGAAAAAAAAGCTCTTGCCTAGATACCATTAGCATACTTACAGATTGATGAATAAAAGGCATATCTTGTGTAGCTGCTAGTCTACTAGAGAAACCTGTGCTACCATCTGGGATGCCAAAATTTAATGGTTCTCTCTTCTTAATAATGATCTGAAAGATTAATCGAAAGAGAATTATAGGAACATTTTACACATCACTATATAAACACAGACAAATTAACTGACCAAAGCATTTTATAATTATTTAAAATATGTTCTACCTTTCTTCTTTTAAAATTTACAATGTAAAAAAAATTTTTTTTAAGTCTATATAGAGCACCAAAATTCTTAGGCAATTGTCACACAAATCAGTTGCATACTAAGAAAAATTATATTTCACTTTTTTCTAAAACAATAAATTTTCCTCTTCCTCGTTCCTCTTTCCCTACTTTCCCTGGACCCCCCAAAATATAATTAGGCATTTTTAGTCACTGTATTAAACAAGAACATGTATCATATCCTACCAGAAGTATAACCAGTTCTCTAAGCATGTGGGTATCCTATGAATACATTAATAACTCTTTCAGGCCAGTAGTATTAGTTTTGTAGTTTAAAAGTATTTTCATTCTAACTAATTTATTAAGGTACTATTGCAATATACTGAGTTCCTATTAAGAGCAGCAAAATAGACTTTCAAAATAAAAGGTACTCATCTACTAAGAAATTCACTTAAAACTCCTTGAAAAATATACAACTTAATGCATTTGGACAACTCAACAAAAACAACTATGATTACAGCATGTAAATGTTATCAGCCTTGAAAATCTAAAAATAAATATACAGATGAAACTGGCAGGAAGGTAGAAGAGGGTGAAAAACCCTATTAGAGAATTGTGGAATAAATCATGTCCTCATTTTATAAGTATATTTATAAAAAAATATTTTCTATGCTTGATTGAACAATGGAACTTTAAGTATTTTTTTCTTTTGAAAACAGCAGGATGACTGATGAGGTAGACTGGAAAAAAAACATTACCGTATTTGAAAAGGGGGTAAGAGGGTATGAAATAAACCCCCGTTTACCATAGTATGCAGTCAGTGGACAATATCTGTGATTGGTAAATCAAGACATAGCAATATAAGAATACTATATACAGATATGATGAAAAATGCTAGAAGCCCAAACAGAAAAAGTTATGGGTGGCTGCTTTTAGAAAGTAGAACTGGTATGAAGAATGATGGGGCAGAAGTCTATTGATTTTCTTCTTCTTTTTTTTTTTTTTTTTTTGCGGTACACGGGCCTCTCACCGTTGTGGCCTCTACCGTTGTGGCCTCTCCCGTTGCGGAGCACAGGCTCCGCGGCCATGGCTCATGGGCCCAGCCACTCCGCGGCATATGGGATCTTCCCGGACCGGGGCACGAACTGTGTCCCCAGCGTCGTCAGGCGGACTCTCAACCACTGCGCCACCAGGGAAGCCCTATTGCTTTTCATTACAAGCTCTTCTATATTCTTTGATTTAAAAACAATTTTCAGGGACTTTCCTGGTGGCACAGTGCTTAGGAATCTGCCTGCCAATGCAGGGGACATGGATTCGAGCCCTGGTCCAGGAAGATCCCACATGCCACAGAGCAACTAAGCCCGTGTGCGCCTAGAGCCAATGCTACGCAACAAGAGAAGCCACCGCAATGAGAAGCCCGTGCACCGCAATGAAGAGGAGTTCCAGCTCGCCACAACTAAGAAAGCCGGCGCGCAGCAACAAAGACGGACGGACGGACAGACGGAAGGAAGGAAGGAAGGAAGAAAGAAAGAAAGAAAAATTTAAAAACAACTTTCAAATGTACATGTACTATTTTGATAAAAAGAAAGGAAAATACTCAGCCATTGTTCTTTTTCTAATAATTCCCTGCATCTTTAAGTGATTGTCCATGTATAACTATATAACTCAAAAGGGATAAAATAAAGTGTGGATGCCTACACAAACCCACAACGATTACACTAAGTTCTCAGAGCCTTGCATCAGTTTGATAATGGTTATAAACAATGGAAACTACTTATCAGTTTGTAGACATCACTAAACTGTGAACTAATCTTTTAAGGTTAGAACTGTATCTTATTCAGCTTAGTCTCCATAGCAGAGACTGGAGTCTAGAATCTGACATACAGTAGGATTTCTATAAAAGCTTAGACACAATTTTAAAAGACTTGGGGGTACAATTTACTAGATCTGTGTCCAGGTCACTTGAATATATAAGCTTCTTTAACATGACAGAAAACACAATTGCTAATTAGAAATAGGCTTTCTAACAAATACCAATTATACTAATTTTAATTATAGCAATCTGAAGAGTGGTTTAATAGTTTTATCTCCAAAAGCACAAATCTTTAACATACTTTCTGGGTTTTCCTTATAGTTGGTGTCATGTCCTTAAAATAGTCAGGTTCCAGTTGTTCTAAAGCATTTTGCTGTGTTGCAACATTCCCATTCCCTCCTTCAATCTTTACACTTGTGGGTGCATCTTCATCCCAGGAAGTCCACTCTTCAACATCTGTCTAAATTTAATTCATCATTTATTAGAAAAATGAGCTTTCTAAAACACTGGTTATTCAAACTTTTTTGACCAATGGGAAAATACAAATTTTATACCACATACCAAAACTAGATGAAAAGTTTAAAAGAAATATTCTATGAGTTGGACATTCTGTTCTACCCATTAAAAAAATACAAACAACAAAACAAAACAAAATATTTTTGCTTTAAAAATTGAACTGACATTAAAACTACAGCCCACAGAAGGAGACTTGGAACTTGCAATCTAACCTTAACCAGGTTTATTGCCTGATAAAATAATAAATAATAACATTCTTTATAGTATTTAAATAAGATAGAGTCCCAAACATAATATTCAACATAACCATGAAGTAACCTGCAAATGAACAATGAAGAAATCTCAACTTGAATGGAAAAAGTCAATCAACAGACACAAACCCCAAGATGATGTAAATGTTGGAATTATCTAAGACTTTAAAATAGTTATTATAAAAATGCTTCAATAAGCAATAGCAAACACTATTAAAACCAATAAAAAAAAAAAGAAATCCTCAGCAAAGAAACAGAAAATCTTAAAGAACAAAATAAAAATTTTAGAATAAAAAAATTTAATAACAACAATAAAAATCCTGACCCCGACTACCAAATTAATTTCATGACATACTAATGGTCGGCAATCCAGTTTGAAAAATATGGTTCTGGAACATTTATTCAACATTCAAAAAAAAAATTACCTGCTTAGGAACGGATGAATAATCAACTGTAGTTGGCAAAGTTATTTGGTCTCCACTTAATTTCCGTCCTCTGCCAGATCTAAAACAAAAATGAAATAATTTATTTCAAGAAACTACCAAAACAAGCATGGGTAAAAGCACTACGGACAGTAACTTAAGGCTTATAAGAGAAGGTCTTTTTCAATTTTTGAATTATTTATTTTAATAATTAACAATTGTTAAGATATGAAAAGAAAAATTTGTTAAGATATGAAAAGAAAAGGCATGTATCAAATATCTTTTAAATATTTTAAAAGTACTGGACAGGATAACCCAACAGCTTTTTGGCTTAGGATTCAGAATTATAGTCAAACTCAGGAAGAATATAAAGCCAAAAACAAAAACACAAACTGATTTCAAACCATGCTCCTAAGAGTACTGTGAATTCTGTAAGTGAAGCTCTCAGATACCTATGCTATTTTAACCAGGGTGGCCTGGCTTTTGCTTTACGTAGTTGGTTTCTCATTAAGATTACTATTAAACTATTAAGAAGTTTGAAAATCACTGGGTTGAACTATAAACTGTACCCAAGTTTTAAGGATTAGTGGGAAAAGTACTATATTAAAGAAGATAAGTATTGTCACAGAGCTGTTAAGAGCATGGGCTATGGAATCTGTGTAAACCATGGTTTTCAATGTTACTTCTATTAATTATGAATCTAGTTAGAATTACCTATCTCTCGGCCTGAGTATCCTCATCTGTAAAAGGCAGGTATTCAAACCTACCTTTGCAAGGTTGTTGTAAGGATTTAACTGACATTTAAAATAGCTAGACACTAGACTGTGCCTGCTTTTTAATAACACATTAAAAAATGGTAGCTATTATAAATGATTAGTCACTTGCTTCATTTCAAATAATCTATGAAGCATCTGCTTAGAACTAGTTGGTAAAGTCAGCTAAGTTTAGAAATCATACTTTGTTTAAAGGATGAAGAAAAAAAGTAATACAGTCTACTACTAAATTTATGATGTAAACCTGGTATTTTAGAACACATGATCTAGGTTCTTTCTGACAAGAAAAGCTTATTCTAACAAAGGGTCAGTTTTCTTTAAAACTGAATATACAATCAATCCTAAACATATTTACGTTGACAAGAGAAGTTCATAGTGACAACAAAAATGTCCTTAATATTTTTAAATCAAATGCAGTATCTTATACTAAAAGTAATCTATATTCAACAAAACTTTTAGAAAATAACAGATGCAAAGAGAAAAGCACCTATAATTTATCACCACTGTTAACACAACTACTTCTTTTTAACCTCCAGCCTCCTGGCATTAATACCCACACTCATCCTGCTTTAACCTAGTTTTTTTTCTGGCTATGCTACTTCTAACAATAAATTCAATGCCACTTAATCTTCAGAGTTTTAGTAGTTATAAAATGGCCATTTAGCTTGAGATTACATTTCCTAGCCTCCCTTGCAGCTAGGTGGCTAAGCTCTGGATAATAGGCTGTGAACAGAATTGTGTGTAACTTCTAAATCATATCCACTAAAAAAAAGAGCTGATTGCCCTCCATTTCCTCTTTTATTCTATGCTGCTCTTACTGTGTTGGTACTTCTTTCACAGTACTTCTAGGCCAAAAGAAATACCTAACAATTCCACTGATTAAGTAGTTAGGCCCAAACAATTTAATACTTATGTATGTCCTATCTGCTTAGTAGCCATTAGAAAAAAATACATATGAATTTAAAGAAAAAATAATATGTTGATGTCACTCTTTAAAAACCACAATTACTTATTAATGGAATGTGTGTGCCTGTTGGATACTGCACAGCTCCTCAAGCCTTGGACTCACCCTTATTTTCTGTTCCATATTAATTTTGGTTTAGTACTTGCTTTTAATTACAACCTAGCTTTGCCAAGATAGGTTACCCAAAATACAAGTAAACAAAAACTTATCTCAAATATTCAAGAACATCATCAAAACATACTGCAGGATCTAATGTTGCAAATGTGAACTACCTTGAGCCAACAGTTTGTTTAGTGTTTAATAGACACTATCACATTCATTGTGTTTTGTTGGAAAATCTGAAGTATCCTACAGTACCCCATGAGTGTAATGCAAGCCCTGAAGTATCTTGGCATACAGTTTAGGAACTATAGCTCTAGGGTCCGGTAGTATGACAAAATAGAAGGAATCTGAGTCTCTGAATGACTTACTGAAGCAGAAGGACTTATCTACCCTGGACTACCTGTACATTCTGGAATATTATTTAAGAGACAAAAAAAAAAATCTATTCTGTTTGGGGTTTCTCTGTTAAAGTGTTTTGTTTTTTTTTTTTAACAGAAAAATAACACTCATAATGTAATATGTAAAGAAATACCCATGGGGGCTTCCCTGGTGGCGCAGTGGTTAAGAATCTGCCTGCCAATGCAGGGGACAGGGGCTTGAGCCCTGGATCCGGAGGATCCCACATGCCGCAGAGCAATTAAGTCCGTGTGCCACAACTACTGAGCCTGCAAGCCACAACTACTGAAGCCCGCGTGCCTAGAGCCTGTGCTCTGCAATGGGAGAGGCCACTGCAATGAGTGGCCCGTGCACCACAAAGAAGAGTAGTCTCCGCTCGCCACAACTGGAGAAAGCCTGCGCACAGCAACAAAGACCCAATGCAGCCAAAAATAAAAAAATAAAAAAAAAAAAGAAATACCTATGCCTAATTCCACCTAACCATCTTAAAATATCCTGATAATAAAACAATTATGTACATAAAAACTTTCTGATGATTACAACAATGAAAGTTAGTTTATCTCTGAAATTCTATAGTACTAAGAATGTTATTTTAATGGAAGATGTAAGAATTTGAAAGAGAAGAACTGAACCTCTACTTTCTAGATCTGAAAAAATATATAAAAATCTGAAAAAAATACAAAAAATACTAGAGATTAATAAATGAATATTGCAATCAAGATATTTAGCTTAAATATAGTATGTCCTGCCTTTTTGTAGTTATGAAGGTATCTAAAATCAGCAAGAAGATAACCAGGTCAATTTGAACATAAAATTTCTTTACCTGCATATTAATCTCTTTAGGAATGAGAATACTGTTGCTAGGCAGGTACAAACTTTAAATAACCGAAACTGTGTGATAGCCATGGTGGGAATCAAAACCTGTGGAAAAAAGCACAAAAATAAATGCATTAAGGTGATTTCATAAGCTATACTCATGTTCTGAAGTCAACCTGAAAAGTCCTACTATGAACTGTAAAAATCAGACATATTTTTTACTTTCCTTTAGAAAGTACAAATATAACACAGTAAATCTAAAAATTAAAATGTAAATCATATTGACAAGAAAGTTTTGAAGAGTTTTGAATAGTTGGGAGGAAAAAAAACCTTTTCAAACTACTCTCAGAATGTTTTTTTAAATTGTACTTAAATCATCTATTTACAACTTATTTATAATTTTTCTATTAAAAAATGAAAAATCAAAAAAGTATAAAACAGTATATACTGAGTCTTCTGTACCTTTTGAAATTTGAATCATATGAACATATTAATACTATTCAAAATATATAAAACTTTTAACTTCTAGATAGATACATTTTATCATACCCATTTTGTAGATGAGGAAATTAAGACAGGTCAAATAACTTATGGGCACATAGCTAATAAACTGGAAGTGAACTATAGAGATCATCTAGTCCAGTAGTTCACACATATTTAAAGAAATAATGATAACTGGGCCCACCCCTAGTAAATCAATTAAATCATATTCTCTGAGGGGTAAAGTCCAGTTATAGCTAATAAGCCAACAGAGAAGATAGAAAATACTCAATAGAAAAGGAAGTAGAAAACAAGGTAAAGAGGAACAAATATTAGATGGAACAACAAATAGCAAGAGGATAGAATTAAACCCAACTGGAGTAATAATCTCGTTAAATGCAAATTTAAAGCCAGAGATTGTTAGATAGGATGCAAAAAATGTACTTTAAGTATAAAAACACAAATAGGTTAAAAGCAAAAGGATGACGGAAAAATATACCATGCTAACACTAATTGAAAGAAAGTTAAATTGACTATTTCAATGTCAGAGAGTAGATTTTTAGCGAAAATAATATTAGCAGACATAAAAATGTTCATTTCATAGTGATAAAGGGGTCAGTTAATCAAAAGTACATAAGAACCCAAAACACATGTCCCTAATAACAAATTATGCCAATATCATAAAAGAGAGGTGACATTACTAGAGAGTCTACAAATATGAAGAGTATATTGAGAAAGTATTATAACTTTATGCCTATATTTGACAAGATGAAATGGACAAATTCCTTGAAAGAAACAAGTTATGAAAGCACAGCAAGAAAAAACAGATAACCTGAAAATCTCTGTATTTATTAAAGAAACTGAATTTGTAGTTAAAAATCCCCCAAGCCCAGATGGCTTCATGAATGAATTCTATCAAATACTTAAGAAGTAATACCAATTCTACACACAGTGCCAGAAAACTGAAGGAGAGGGATTTTTTATCAACTCACTCTTTGAGGCTACCATTACACTGACACTAATCTAGACCAAAGACATTATCAGAAAAGAAAGCTAGAGACCAGTATCTTATGAACAGACACAAAACTCCTTAAAAACAACCAACTAGAAATAGAAGGGAACTTTCTCAACCTGACCAAGGACATCTATGAAAAACCCATAGTAACATGAGACTTAATGGCGAAAAACTGGACACTTCCCACCTAAGATTATGAACAACATAAGCACATCTGCTTTTGTCACTTCTGCTTAACACCGTAGCAGAGGTTCAGAGGTTCTGGCCAGTGCAATCAAGCAAGAAAAGGAAATAAAAGGCATTCAGACTGGAAAGGAAGAAGTAAAACTGTATCTATAGTCTATGTAGAAAATTCAATGGAATCTATAATCAACTGTATTTTTATGTTAGCAACAAATGATCACAAACTAAAATTTTTAAAAATTATAAGAGTACAGAAAATATAAAGTACTTAGGGAGAAATCTAATGAAAGACTTATTATCAGAAACTATAAAACATTGATGAGAGAAATTAAAAGACCCTTATTAACTTAAAGATCTTTCATGGCTCAAAGACTTGATACTGTTAAGATATCAAATCTCCCTAAATTGAACTACAGATTCAGTGAAATCCCAATCAAAATCTCAGCAAGCTTTTTTCTCTAAAATTTGATAAGCTAATTCTAAAATTCATATAGAAACGTAAAGGACCTATAATGGTCAAAACAATGTTGAAAAAAATCAAAGCAGAAGGGCTAATACTACCTGATTTCAAGATTCATTATAAAGCTACAGTAATCAAAATGATGTAGTACTGGAGTCAAGACTGATAAATAGATCAATGGAACAGAATGGAAGGTATAGAAATAGACCCACAAAATATGAACAACTGAAATTTATGAATTTGTGAAGGCCATTCAGTGGAGAAGGGACAGTCTTTCTGACTAATAGTGCTGGAAAAACTGGATACCCATATGCCAAAAAAAGCCACCAAAACCCAAAAACCTTCAATCCATATTTCACACCATTTACAAAAAGTACTCAAAATGGACCACAGATATAAATATAAAACCTAAAACTAGGACTTCCCTGGTGGCACAGTGGTTAAGAATCTGCCTGCCAATGAAGGGGACATGGGTTCGAGCCCTGGTCCGGGAAGCTCCCACATGCCACAGAGCAACTTAAGCCCATGCGCCACAACTACAGAGACTGTGCTCTAGAGCCCGCAAGCCACAACTACGGAGCCTGTATGCCACAACTACTGAAGCCCACGCACCTAGAGCCTGTGCTCTGCAACAAGAGAAGCCACCACAATGAGAAGCTTGAGCACCACAAAGAAGAGTAGACCTCGCTTGCTGCACTTAGAGAAAGCTATGAGCAGCAATGAAGACCCAACGCAGACAAAAAAAACAGAAACTAAAACTACAAAACTTCTAGAAAAATAAAATTGGACAAAATCTTTGTGACCTGGGTTAGGCAAATATCTTTTTAGATACGACACCAAAAGCACAATCCATAAAAAAAAAGGATAAACAGGGCTTCATCAAAATTTAAAACTTCTACAATTCAAAAACACTGTTAAGGGAATAAAAAGACAAGCCACAGACTGGAAGAAAATCTTTGCAAAGCATATATCTGATAAAGAACTTGTATCTGGAATACATAAGAACCTCTCAAAACTCAGTAAGAAAACAACTTAATTTTTAAAAAATGGGCAAAAGGCGTGAATAGACACTTCACCAAAGAAGATATACAATGGTAAATAAGTACATTGAAATAATGGTCAACATCATTAATCATCAGAGAAATGCAAATTAAAACAACACTTAGTGCTCACTTTGGCGGCACATATACTAAAACTGGAACGATACAGAGATTAGCACGGTCCCTGCGCAAAGGTGACATGCAAATTCGTGAAGCGTTCCATTTTTTTTTTCACTTTGTTATACAGCAGAAACTAACACAACATTGTAAAACAATTATACTCCAATAAAGATGTTAAAAAGAAAAACACTTAAAAACCATTACACACATGTTAAAATGGCTCAAATTAAAAATACCAAGTACTGCCAAGGATGTGAAGCAACCATAACTCTCATACACTGGTAGTGGGAAGGTAAAATGATACAGCCATTTTGGAAAACAGTTGGCAGTTTCTTACAAAGTTAAACGAACATGCAGCATATGACCCAACCATTCTACTCTTAGGAATTCACCCAAGATAAATGAAACCATACACCCATTCAAAAACGTGTTGTTTTTGAATAGCAGCTTTATTTTATTTTTAAATTTTTTTTTTTTTTTTGCGGTACATGGGCCTCTCACTGTCGTGGCCCCTCCTGCTGCGGAGCACAGGCTCCGGATGCGCAGGCTCAGCGGCCATGGCTCACGGGCCCAGCCGCTCCGCGGCATGTGGGATCTTCCCGGACAGGGGCACGAACCCGTACCCCCTGCATCGGCAGGCGGACTCTCAACCACTGCGCCAGCAGGGAAGCCCAGCAGCTTTATTTTTAATAGCTCCAAACTGGAAACAACCCAAATGTACATCAACAGGTGAATGGATAAACAAATTGTGGTATATACATATAATAGAACACTACTCAACAATAAAAAAGAATGAACTACTACTGCAAGCAATAGCATGGATATATCTCAAAATAATTAAGCTGAATGAAAAGAAGCCAGACAAAAAAAGAATATATACTATATGATCCCATTTATTAAAAAAAAAAAGCTCTAGAAAATACAAACAAATCTCTAGTGACAGAAAATAGATCAGTGGTGCCTTGAGATGGGGCAGGAAGGGGTGGGAAGGATGGAGTACAAAGGAGCATGAGTACTGGAGGTACTGGATATACTTACTATTTTGATTGTGGTGATGGTTTCACAGGAGTGTATATATTAATCAAAACTGATAAAATTTTACATTTAAAAAATGTGCAGTTCATTTTGTGTCAACTGTAGCTCAAAAATCTAGTAAAAACAATCTAATAAGACATTAAAAAAACAGTATTATGTCATGAGTTTTCAGATTCTGATTAGAATCTTAAAAGAAGTCATTAAGACCATTATTTTATATTGATTAGTTGCAACTGTGGAGAGCCAATTTTCAGTAGGAAACTAAGTCAATTAGTGACAAGAAACATATTACAGAATTTCTCTAGGAATGGAACTCTGATTTCACAGCAGCATTTCAACATACCATAATAGCTAACTCTTACTCTAATACAAGCTTTCTTAGTGATTTACATGTAATAACTCGTTTAATGCTCAGAACAACCCCATGAAGGACTGGAGCTAAGTACTATTTTATTCCTATTTTAGATAGGGAAACCAAGGCACAGAGTTGTTAAGTAAGCTGCCCGAAGACACAGAGCTGTTAAGTTACAAAAGTGGAATCTGAACCCAGGTAGTCTAATGATTGAGTCCTAAAAGATCACACTCATACTGCCTCCCTATGATTAAATCAAAAGATATGATTTATATAAAAGAAATGCTAAGGAACTGGGAACTAGTTAAAGCCATGGCAACAACAGGACAAAAAAAATTCTCAAAAATGGCAAAACAGATATCATTTTGCTAGCCTTTTAAACATGGTCATTATTTCCAAATATTTCTTTACACATTTTAGTCACCTATACCATATATGTACTACATATATTATCCTAACAATCACTAATTTAAATATTTCTTAAAATGAGTTTTGGCATAAGTTAGAGTTAAATATATTAAGTAACCATAAGTTTCCTCATTCAGAGACTCAAAATAAATACACAAGAGGTAAAAGGAAACTAAAATTTGTTAATTCATGAGAGATGGCTATTTTTCCAGTATAGAGGTAGAGTAGATCACATGTTAAATCAAGTCACAAGAAATTACAGGTATGTATACACACACACACACACACACAGAGGAATGATGTTTCTGACAATGGAATTTTATGTTTTAGCTTTTCCTTGCCTTTCATCTGTCAAAGGAGGAAAATTACTGAGTAAGCATTTAGAATCATGATTCTTATGTTGGGGTAATTTGAATATATCAATGTATCATCCAACTTCTTAGCTTTCTCAACCAGCAGACTTAAGATACACTGAAGTTAACTTTTCTGTTCAAGGTGAGGCAAAAACCAATAACAAAGTCACAACTAAAACTTATCCTACTCCTAGGCCATCAGTAGAAAGTTTCCAAGCAATCATTATAGTCGGTTAACACCAATATTTGGAGTAGAGTGATTCCATAAAACAAAAAAAGAAAACATAATTTAATATTTTTTTCCAAAATAAGAAAACATCAACAGTATATCTGGACTTCAGTTCTATACATATTTACTTAAAAGGGAATAAAATGTAACTTAAGTAATAATGTTCATGGAGCCAAATTAAAAAGATAGCTGTATGTTCCATCTACGCAAAACTGAGATGCTGACTTTTATTTTAAAATTATCTTATATGGATATAAGATAAGCAATGAAATTTAAAGTATAACATAAATATTTAAATCTCCCTGGATAAATATACCATCATTGTACTAATATGCTATTTTAAAAAGTATTTCAAGTGGATTAAAGGAGAGAGCACTGCTTTGCTTTCAATTACTAGATATGAGCAATAACCTCCTAAAGTCTTGAAAAGAGCATGTAATAATTTTCTCAACTAGTAAGATATTACACTGACTGGTTAAAAATTACATAATAAAAGATGGTGTTCACCTCTGATTGGGGGGGTGGTATAGAAGCATGAGGGAACTAAGGTCTGTATCTCAATTTGAGTGGTGGCAACACCAGTTTATTTTACTGTAGACACTGCTTGTGTACTATACCTTGATATGAAAGTTCAAAACAAAACAAAAGTAATAAAAGCGAAACAAAACCAGAAAGCAAGGAAAATGCAGTTAACTCTTGCAGTACGTGATCCTAAACTGCTCTGTAGAGCCACTATTGCCAATCCCTTCTAAAGAAAGGCAAAACACTTTCTACTTCTAGGGTTAGAAGGGTGTAAAGGGCAAGTAGACTCTTTTCAGTAAGAAGAGTTCCAAAAGGCTCCCTTAGCAATGCTCATGCATTTTGTACAAGTGCAAGTTGTATCGCCATATGCGTTGAATGATTTTCTGAATGCCTATGCCTGGAGTTGGCCTACTAACTGAGAGGATGAAAAGAACGTGACTCTAAAATAAACTGAACGAAGAAAATATTAACAATTTCACTGTTCAAGTAACTAAAATATTTCTGTCAAAAACATCCCCAAACAGCAATTTAAAAGGATTCAAAAAATGCAACGTTTTTGACTCCTCCTTTCTCTCATCCCCTTACATGCAAACTGCCAAAAAGACCTAATTCCATTTCCTAATACTATCCATATTCTTCCCTATTTCCACTGCAATCTCCCTAGCATAAGCCTTTATTATTTCTTGCTGAACTATTGCAAAGTCTTTTTAATTGCAGGATTTTTCTCTTACTGCATCTATATTTTCTATTTTGTACCATAGTTATTTCTATATACTGTATTCATCCTGTATAATCCTTCCCATGAGGATCTTATTCATCTGTTACCTCCGGTTACTACTTGCAAAATAAGACGTGAAAGAAAGGTTTGATTGCTTCAGTACAAGCAGAATGATGTAAACAATTAAGGTGATGAACAAAAGCTTCATTTTAAAGATAATTTGTCAAAAATAGAACTCTCAACCAAAAGAAAGCAAACTTCCCTAAATGAAGATTTAGCCTAAAGTTTCTGAAAAATTATAAACAAAAAAAGAGCTAGAAAAGAGACCGTAGAGCATGTGGCATTAGAGAGAAAAGGGGAAAGAGTTGAGGAGATACTCTATCAGGATGTTTTGAAGGGAGAAGACATTTAATATTTAAGGACTGGGGAAAAGAGTCGGTCTCAGGATTTACATGAATGAAGAGTTGAGAGTAAGTTTCATATAAAGGCTTGGTAACAACGGTCATCGCTCTGCCACAAATATTGCTATGTGTCATTGTTCAATAAGTATTTGTCAAATTGAATGACTTTAATGGTAACTAAAAATAAAATTTTAAGTTTTGTTCCAATAGTAAATCAGAAAGTGGGACTATTATTGACACCAGAATAGAATTCTCTCCCTAGCAATTAAGAATATCCTCATTCTGTGGAAAAGTTGCTTTTGTGATTAATAAAAGAGAAAAACTAATATTCACTGACTAGCTACTATGTGCCAAGCACTACTTAAGTATTATCTCACCATAAAACCATCTTATGAGATAGATGTTATTGCTCTCTTTTCATAGAATTGAAGCAGAGAGTAAGCTCATGTTTCCATGTTCCCACACCCAATGATCTAGATTCAAATCTAGGTCTATTTAATTCAAAAGCCAAGAATACCTCACTAATAATAAACATTTTTAGTAATTCAGTGATGGTATTATAATTTCCAAGATAAATTTTCCAACCAATTGCAACTGAAATGGGGGAAAATGCAATCATATTAACCATCAAGCAACACTTTTGATTTTATCAATTACACTGACTTGAAGGCAGGAATCAGTTCTTTGGGACCCATATTTACTTAATGTTCCAATTCATTTCTCTCTCTCTGTGTGTGTGTGTGTGTGTGTGTGTGTGTGTGTGTGTATCACACACACGTATATTTAGCACCTACTATGTAACAGATACTACCCCAGGTGATGGGAAACACTACTGACCCAGTACACAGAAACCCTGTGTACGCTGCTCAACTGTCACAAGCCAGTGACAAAGCAAGAAACTAGGGCGGCAGGGCCCCATCAGTCTTGCTCAGTTGGTATTTCTAGGTCTTAGCCAATGCTAAGCACATTGTAGGTACTCAAATATTTGTTGAACGAAGGGAAATTATCATTCTTTGAGCACTCAATATAGTTCTAGACAATGTACCTTCCATGGCCTCACTGGAATTCTAAAGACAAACAAAGGAGGTGAGTTTCACTATTCCCATTTAACAGATGAGGCTCAACTGCTAGTGAAGTTCACATTCACTCACCCAGAAGTTAAAGAGACTGACCCCAAAGCCCAGGCTCTTCCCACACCACATCCCATTTAAGAAACCTCTTCTTAAATTTTACACTCATTGCCTCAGTTGATTTTTGAAACGCTCTCTAGATCACCAATCTGAGAAGTACACATCGTAAGCTACCTGCATTTTTACTCTGTCGAAATACTTTCTAGAACTGAAATATGCTAATATAATCTAATTTTAAAGTTAAAGTTTCCTTAAAAATTACTACAAAAATACAAAAACTTGAGATATAGCCGAAATAAGGTTCAGAACCATAAAGCAACCTACCCTCAGCGCTTTTGGACAAATGACATCTCTAGGAAGTCAACAGGAGTGACAGCTTGGCTGTGTCAAGTGAAAAAGATTCACCTACAATTTAAAAAAAAATGCATTAGAAACTGAAAGATTAAATGTATCCTTCCTCCCTGTAATTCCATGTAAACTGCTGGCGAGATCTTTTCAGTAGAGTCACTATCTCACAAATTGTTAAATAAGCCAAGCCAAAATCTATGTTGGTACACACTAAACAAGTCACTAATTGCTGTATTTCTAAAACTATATTTTTGAATGTTTTTAATACCAAAATTTGAAACACCATATAATCTAGTACCGTACAGAATATCCTCAAATTAAGTTTGTAAATCTCTGAAGTAGGTTAAGGTATATCACAAGGCTCCAAAAATAAAACCACCTGACCTCACTTAAATTTGAAAAACCAAAGTTCGGTAGCGGCAAGAGAAGGGGAACTAGAAGTAGAACGTGAGAGCGGGCGAACACTGGACCATCTAAGGCAACTCAAAGTCAGGCCCTCAAATACCACTGAGGTTCTTACAAAGGCAGAGTAAAGCCTCCTGAAAGGCTCAAAAGGAACGAGTTTCATAACTAAAATGTTTTAACTTCAGATTACCCACTTGAAATTCTCTGATAAAAAAAAAATCATACCCACTGTACAGATGCGAAAAACAACAGGAGCGTTTTCAGGTTGCACAATCCGACGCCATATGTACGGCGTTTGGTGAAAACGCTCTCAGTTGCTCCAAGTGGGTACCAAGTGGACTGGGACTTGGATTTTAGAAAAATCTGCTTGGTAAGGAGCAAGGCCTGTAGAGGAAGGGCAGGAAGAACGGGCAAATTTCCCTGTGGGGGACGAATCTGGGGACCCGGGAATTCCGGTTGGAGCCCCGCAGCACGGTATCCCACGCGTGAGCCCGCATGGTGAGAGCTGCACGCCCGGGGCCCGCTCCGGGTCGCGGTTCCCTCACCCCAGAGGTCAGCCTGACCCGGAAACAGTACCATAGAGTGGCAGTCGGCCTCGGTGGGGGGAAACCGGGTGGAGGGCCGAAAAGGAAGGTGGGAGGGCGGGAAGTGCCGGGCAGAGACGAGGGCTAACTGGGGAAGGGCAGAGGACACCCCCCCGCCAAGACCCGGGTCCGGATCGGGATGGGGGTGGGGGAGGGAAGCCCCTCGAGGGCGCGCGAGCCGCACACACTCACCTGCCCCTCCCCCTCCCCGCCCGCCCGGCGGAGGCTCCGAGCTGCCGCGGGCTGCGCGCGCACACACGGCGCGCGCACGCGCGCTGCCGGTCGCTTCCTCGAGCTTGCGCTCCGCCGGTTCAGTCCCAGCCCCGCTCATTCAAAGCAGGGCGCGCGCTCCGTCTCAGCCGCCGCTGCCGCCGCGCAGCTGCCATAGTCGCCCCCTCGTCGGGAAACCCTCCCCCAGTCCCACCTCCTGCCTCTCCTTAGCCCTCGAAGGCGGCTCTCAGTAGTCCCAAACTCTTGTTTCCGCACCCCGCCCCAGGTCCTGTCTGGCCCAATAGGCGAGAGGCTGCGGGTCCGGCGTCGGGGCTGAGAGCCAATGAGCGTTGGGGGGCGGGGTGAGTGGCGGAGGCCGGCGTGGCAGCTGCGTGGGCTTGGTCAGGAGTAGGATTTTTGTGACCGTTGCTGGCTATATAGACTGTTTTTTTGCTGAGTGTCTGGGCTCGTCCCGTGTTGCTGTAGTTTCTATACACAGTGCCTCCGCTCCAACCATGCCCCCTTTCCTTAAATCCACAGAATCCCCCTACCAGATGGGACCAAGAGAAATACGTGTTTAGATTGCAAAAAATGAGGGAGCCGTAGCTGTCTCAAAATGATGGATCTGGCCAGATCTCAATCATTCCACAACTTTAGGGGTGCGAAGCGCTGAGTTTAATTCAGAATTTAGGCTCCTGCTGGTAATTTTTGATTGAATTTCCTTTAACTGGAAGTTAAAAAGTGTTACTTCACCGTGTCCCTGCATTTGTTCCTGGCTTACCGAGCTAGCCACTCTTCCAAATTAAGGTGTTCTTTTTCTATGGTTCTGTCTTTGAAGCCTGATTGTTTTTTGTTTCTTTTCATCCTGTATGCTGTTAAAAGGCTAGGATCCTTTGCTATTGTTGGTAAGGGGCCCTCAGAAAAGTATCTGCTCCACTGTTGTAAAGTGACTGGTGAGGGAGGTTAGAAGTTTATGTTGGTCAAAGACTGAAAGCTGTTCATGCAAATTGTTCCTCAACCAGCCTTTTTTTTTTTTTTAACCTCTTTTTTGGCTACAACTACCTTCGTTCTGTCACCCTGACCAGCACTTAGCTACCCACTTAAATTTCCAGTACCTCCACCCCCTCCCCCTACCCCAGTCTATACCACATTTCTATTAATAATTTAACTTGTTTATCCTCAGGAGGCGAAGAAAAAGAATGTTTATTACTTTGCTCTGGAATTATTCTGTGTAACCTTGGATAAGTTATTATATCCCTAAACTTCAGTTTCCTCATCAGTAAAGTGGCCATAATAGTGCCTACTTCATGGCCAATGCTTACAAAGCTCTTAGGGCAGACCCTGGTGCATAGCAAGCATTCTTAAATAAGAGCTGTTACTGCCTGCTACTAGTACTACATTACTACTAAAGCATTCCCAGTAACTACAGCTCCCTAAGTCCACTTGACCCTCCACAGTCCCTTAAACACCTGTTCTAGCCCTTAAACTCTTCAAATACCTAAGTTCCAATAATTCAAAATTTCTAGAATTTTTTTTTGATTCCCAAAATCAAAAATCCAGGCTAGTTTACATCTTGACATGAGCATGTTTTCAAAATGCTTTTCCTTAGTGATGTGTATCTTTGCTTCAAGTTATTTATTATATCCCTATGGTCTTTTCTTCCTTTTCTTTTTTAATTATTCCTCAGTTTTCTTTATTAAATTTTCCATTTGCAAATGAAACAAAAGGTACATATTTTTCCAGAAACAAATAGTGAATACTTGTTTTCCAGCGCAACAACAAAACAAACAGAAAACTTGCTAAAGTCTGCAAACTTAAAATTTACTTTAAAAATACCTATGAAAGAATACTTAAAAATCATCTTTAGGGTTTCCCTGGTGGCGCAGTGGTTGAGAGTCCGCCTGCCCGATGCAGGGGACACGGGTTCGTGTCCCTGTCCGGCAAGATCCCACATGCCGCGGAGCGGCTAGACCTGTGAGCCATGGCCGCTGAGCCTGCGCGTCCGGAGCCTGTGCTCCGCAACAGAAGAGGCCACAACAGTGAGAGGCCCGTGTAACGCAAAAAAATAAAATAAAAAAAAAATAAAAATCATCTTTAGTTGTTGAGTAGTAATCCCACAATTGGGGATCATAAGTGCCAATAATTTGGGGTCCTGCTTGGGGACCACTCTTGGCAGTGTGCAATTTGCAGTCCTGTTCTCTGCCCAAGGCTTGGGTGGAGTGGGGAGGAGGACCACCAAATGTCAAGTGGGAGGGGCATAAGGGATAGAACCTGATATATGAAGTATTTCTTTTTGGATTGCCTCTTTTTCATGGGGTACAGTTAATTATACCTGCTCTGTGTCAGGACCATTTTGCCCACTTTAAGTCTTCTGATTTGCCTGCCCAATCCCCAATCACCAGCTTGATTATTTTCATTCTATCAGCTTCCAACACACCACTTACTCTCCCAGTTCAAAGCCTGGATAGGCTTCCTTGTTCTGAATTCTCCAGCTGGCTCTGAGTAGTGTCTTGTCAACTGACCTCCCATCCCTGCCTGGGAGGTAGGGCAGACCTTGCAAACACAGCCCAGGGCTTCCAGGTCTTTCCCAACTCAGTTCCCTGGCTTTTCACTGAAGGGATGGTTTTTTCCTTAAGCACAATCTTAGACCTGCTGTTCTGACTTGGACATTAATGGCTTTTTATTGATGAGCAGCTGTTCACGGTTGAATACGGATCGTAAAGTCACATTAATTTCTTGATCAAGCAAAACAAAGCCTTGTAGCTTATAGAGTGACAGTTTTGAACAGATACATTTGAAAGCAAAGGATTATCTGGTGATAATTTTAATGGATTGATTTATTGATCTTTCTTTTCTAGAGAATTTTGCTTGCTTTCAAAATAGTACATTTTAATGTTATGGAAAACCATAATTTATTTCTTAATATCCATAATCACCATTTAATAGTTAGGATCAATTGCTTAATAGAGAAACCAAAAACCCTGAAGCAGCTTTTTAATTTCTTTTCTATTAAAAGAAAATTAACATTCTGTGAAGGATTTAAATAAATATGTTTCATCATAATTTCTATAGCATATCTTCAATTAGTAGTAATTTTTATTGCTAAATACAGGAAGACTCAAGGTTTAAGAATAATTAAGAGTTAACCAAGTCCCTTTAGAAGATGTCTGGATAGGAATGGAGAAAAATAATCCATGTCTTATTTTCAGAAATGGATTCATATGAAAAAATGGGGTGAACTCTTCATTATTATGTTTCAGTAGTGAGGTTCAGCAGTGTAATACCTCTTGGCACTGCCCATATTGTTATCAGAGCTATAATATAATTCAGCTATATTATGAGTTAAGTAGACTTGATCTGAGCGGACCTGGCAATCTAATGCCATTTACTATTTCTAACAGTAAATATGATTCATTCAACCAATATAACATAACAGTTTATAACATGACTAACATGTGAATTGAAAACTTAAAGCAACACTGAATCAACAATGAAAGCCTACTCCATTCAGCTATAGCATGATGGACATTATGGCTTTGATCTTGAACAAGTTTGAGCCTTTTCTCACCTGCAAAATCAGGCTAATAATTCCTGCCTTATGGATTTATTTGGCAAAGTAAGTGGCATAATGTACATGGAAATGTGTTGGAAACAAAGCAATAAAATCAATGAAAGCTCTTAGATGTACAGGTTTATCCTCTTCAAGTCCCTGAATCTTCTTTTAGCTCACAACAAGGAATAGTGCTTCTAAGGAAAACAGGTGAATTTTGTGTCATCAGCAAGCAGAAATAGACATATTTATTAGTAACACGTTAAAAAGGGGAAAAGAGGAAGGAACACTCAACTTTGAAGCTGTGCTCTGAGTTCACCCCCCACCTCCTTTGCCTCTTTGCTTTAAAGATATAGGGTGAAAGAGCAGCTATTAGAACAAAAGCACCTACAGCCCTACCCTTCCCTCTTCATGCTGTTTCTCACTACTCACTGGATATTTTTCTTGAAATACTATCTGTTGCCAAATTTCGTCCATTGTTTCTTCTCAGTGTCTATTATTTTAGCACACCAGGATTATCATAATGATCTTTGATCCTCTAGTTCAGCTCAGTACGTCACTGCATGATTAATAGAAATATTTTTCAAGCACATACTTCTTCATGCTAACGCTCCTGTTCAGAATAGAGATTTGTTGTTGTCCATTAATGCAAATTCACTTAGGAGGATACTGTCTCGATTTTTGCTTTTGGTTTTTTTTTTTTTTTTTGGCTGCACAGTTTGTGGGATCTTAGTTCCCCGACCAGGGATCGATCCCACGGCCCCTGCAGTGGAAGCAAGGAGTCTTACCCACTGGACCGCTGGGGAAGTCCCTTGACTGTTGCTTTTTAATCTCTTAATTTCAAAGTGCTGCTCTTGGATCATTCTCTGACCACCTCTGGCCCTTTAAAATATTAGACATATCAGCAATTCTTGTTAAAGGTATTTGTCTGCATAAGATGTACATTTCATACAGTGAAAATTACCTCCTCACAGTGAAATATGTATTCCTTGCTCTAATTTTTATTTGAAATTAAACCCTTTATAAGTGAGAATTAAATCCATATTATAATCATCCTAGAAGTTTTCAGTATAAAGAACTTATTTATTTTCTCTCTTCCTAGGGAGAATTTACATGTATAAAGGATCATCTGCTTAAATAAAGAAAAACCAAAGGAAAATATCTTGCCACATAGCCAGACACACTCGTAAGTATCCTGCCCAAAAGGAATTATTTTTTTCTGCTCATAGGCACAGAGCCCATTACCATGGCAATCGTAACTAGTGGTCTCTAACTGGGTGTGAATTTTATACACTGTTATTTGAAATGTTAAGGCAGTAAGTCAAGGTAAAGTGCAATTT